TCAAGTCAACAGGGTCATAACACTGGGACACTTTTATTGGAAGGAGGGAGGAAATGTGACAAAGACAGGGTGGTCTAGAGGATTCCTTCCAAGTCAGTTGTTTTGTTTCATGGGCCTCACACATCTCCTCTGGGGTGGAAGGGGCCCTCTGCCCCAGCCCCACCTGACCTCACAGTGGCCCATCTACTGGCTAACAGCAGCCATCTTGTAAAGATGATCTGGACCAGCTCAGCTTCTCCATCAGGGGCTTTGCACTCAGAAGGAAAGAGGAGAGATGGGGATTGGGCTGGAGGTAAAAGGTGAGAGACTGCCTCATCGGTGGAAGAACTAAGGCCTCTACCTTGAGAGCAGCACCAGGTTCTGGGCCTTCCTCCTCTCATGCCCACTGACCACTTGCTCACTCACTACCTGGGCCCCAGGAGAGATGAAACTCACCCTGGTGTGAAGCCAGGAGGAACAGAGAGGGCCAGCAGCTGCCCCAATGCCTGGCCCCTGCCAGCCTCTCTACGAGACAAACTCCAAGCACTGCCTCGCTGCTCCCAGTATCCTCTTCCCTCCCTCCTAAGTGCCCAGGACCCTTTGTTCATTTGGCTTCACAGGTTCATCCAGGGCCCTTCAGCTCTTCAGGCCCCCAGAACTGACTGAGACAGAAACAAAAGTTACTGGCTCCAAAATCTAACAAAATTTCAAAACGGATTTTTCAATGTCTATAGAACGTATCATCTTGTCAGTTAGCCAACCTTGTACCTTATAGACACGTATGTTCAGTGTGGGACATGGTGCACTGTTAATAGGTTCCACAGGCTGGAGTGGGATCTCCAGAAGCAAGGGTGCTGGAGCCTGCAGAGGCTGGGACGGAGTTCTGGGCATGCTCACTTAGCTGAAGACTTATTACAAGAAAGGAGAGGTCTAACCCCTACATCTCACTCAGCACTTTCTATTTGAAGCCACACTTCCCAAGAAGGATGGAGAAGATGACTGGCACAGAATCAACTGCACTTTGGAGTAGGGGCTAACAGCAACTCCTGCTAATTCATCTGAAGGATAATTAAGAAGTATGCCTAAGTCTTCCTTCATCAGGCCTCTAAAGGAGGCTGAACTACATTAAGAGCCCATTTCCCCAATGGGGCTGATACACCCAGATGGTTCTGGCTAAAAATGAATTACACTCAATAGTGGGACTGATTATGCCAAGGAAATTGGGGACCGATGGATAATGCATATCAATGAGTCTTCCTTCTCCTTGAATTTTTCAAATAAAATGCCTTTCCTGCTACCTTGAAAGCTAATTAGCAAATGAAATATTTACAACCTTAAGGGCTAATCCACTCAGGTACAGTAACTAATGGTAAAACAAATCATTTCTCATCTACATCTGATTGACTCAGAAGTCTCATTTCCAAACAAAATACACACGTGTTACTTCCTGGACACTTACAGACTATTCAGCAGATGCAAGCTGTGTTTTAGAGCAGTGTTCTTGTCCAGTTGTTCTTCCCAGCTCTCTGTGCTTCACTGTCTTTGTGAAATTTCTAGGGGACCCCAGTACTTGCGCCTCAGCTCATCTTCTTTCCAAAGCTGGTCCTTTCTGATGGGCTCCACAGGCCCCCTGGCCTCCAGTCTGCTTTCCAGATGCTCCCTTGGGATGACTGAGGACCTGCAACAAGCAGTCCTGAGTGCAGGAGTTGGCTTCTACAGGTCCTCAAGGCCAAGCAGCTGGTGGGCTCTCCTCACTAGCAAGTGCCTTGCACAGCCGGCTCACTCTGCTAGCAATGCCAGAGGCTCACCCCCTCCACCTCCAGCCCGGCCTCCCCAGAGCAGGGTCTGTCAGTGTGGGAAGGGTCTCCCCTGCTCGGATTCTTTCTCTTCTCTAGCCCCACCCCAGGCACAGCCCATCTTCAGTCATGGCTCTTCCAAGACTGGGCCAGGATCGTGATTCCCCTGGTGTGACCCCTGGAACTGATCTTCACCTACCCCAGAGACCTGTGCAGCACTCAGAACTCCTGTCTTCTGGGCTTACTCAGCCTCTGGATGCTCCCACCAGTTCACTAGCTGTCTCTACCTTCCAAAAACTGCTCATGAAAGAGTTCTCCATGGAGTTATTTTACATCTTAGTGTGAATGAGTCTCTTCTCTGTGAGATCCTGAGATTACAGCCTTAAACCAAGTGAAAGGAAATTCTATCACCTGATGGAGGAAGATAGAAGAGTGAGGGGCTGTCCTAGACTCCCCTGAAATCACACAATTGCACTAATCTGCCCAATACCAGTCCTGCCCTATCAAGGATTGGCTATTTAATTTTTAAAATGAACAAAAACAAGGACTAGACCAGAAGGAGAAGACAAGGGAAAGAAAAGCCCAATAAACAAATGCTGCTTGGGGAAGAAGGGAAGGAAGCAAAGGAGACGCCAGGTCTTTCTGTCCTAGACACAGGAGGTTCTATAGCTCAAGCCAGGAGCTGGCCCTGTTTCCAAAGTCAGAAATCACAGTCCCAGTCACAGCATCAATGAAGAGAAAGGTGTTCCAATGAGGAATACAAATGACTCACACACTCATGCTATTTGCCCACATTCCTTATGAAATTTAAGATTTTTTTTTTTTGGAAGGAGGAGTATGCGAGAAGAAAAGTCTTTATGAAAATGTGAAGAAAATAATTTATTTCTTTTTAGACCAGGAGACTGATGTAAAACTAGCAACATGAATATGTACATGATTAAAGAAAAAAGACAGAAGGAAGGACCCTACTTGGCTTAGGTTGTAAAGTGGCTGGAATGGGGCAGAGTAGCCAGCACCTTCAGGGCCAGGGGTCATGCTGAGTAAGCAGTCAGCAGCACAGCAGCATCCCCTTGCCGAGAGACCCAGGCCCAGTCCAAAGGGTCCAACACCTATGTGTGGCAGAGAAGCATAGAAAGTCAGCAGTACTGTGATTTTCACTGCCAAAGCCTGCTTCTTTCATAAAAGGATGTGACTTAGAGACTCATTTCCATGGAGAAGTGGCTTCACTATATTTTAAGGGTACTAAAAGTCAAGTGTAAGCCTCCTCCCCCCAAAACCCTCTTGGGCAAAGTGGCCTGACCCACACGTATGCAGGGGCCTGAGGAAACAGGTGTGATTTCAGGAGGACCAACAGGGAAAAGCACTAGAGGCCTGGTGAAGTCCAGCTGAGCTTCAGGGAGGGGGCCGGGGAAAGCAGCGGAGGACCTGATGCCACAGTGCTGACAGCCCAGGAGGCAGGTGCTGCTAGTCATGGTAAAATGTGGCCACAGCATGACTTCCAATGCACAGGGAAATAGAACCTGGGAAGGAACCCTGAGTAGCCCCACTGTCAGACACAGAGCGTCTCTCTACCCGAGACAGCGCAAAACTGGGAGCCTCTGTTCTCAAAGGTCTCAGAAGTCAGCAGGCTGCTTGCACTGGTAGCAGTCCTGATCCTGGAGCTTAGAACGGGTGCTGCGGGCATGTGCACGAATGGGCCTGGGCCTGCTGCTAAGGAGTGCGACGGGCTTGCCAATCTCGGCAGCATTATGCTCCTGTGGGCTTGCCAGAGGAGCCAATCCTAGAACCCTGCCCCAGAGACACAGACTCTGAAAGTCTGGGTGGGTCCTGGAAAGCCTGCAATTCTGATCTATGATCCAGGTGATTTTGAGGCAGGTAGTATGAGGGCTATGCTTCAAGTCTGGAGACAGGTGGGTATGGGGAGGGTATGCAGTTCTGGGGGCAGGGGGAAGATAAGCAACAGCAGAGAAGCAGCTTATGAGGACTGAAGGCCCATTTCTGTGCACTCCAGGGACAGAGAAAGGACATGAAAGGGAGGGAGGGAGGACTCCCCTCTGTGCGTGCTGCTCGCCTGACCCTATGGGACAACCCATTTTTCTGAGCTAGCCAGACCTTGCTCCATAAAGGCATGACTGAAGCCATGCTTTTGAAGGGCCTCTGGTTGCTCAGAACACCTTGCATTTGGCTACTTCTCCCCCACAAGTGCAAAGTACTCTCCCTCTGAATAGATGAAAATGCGCCGAGGTGCCTGGGCCCCAGTCTTGGTGTGCCGGTGGGTTTTAATCCTTGGCCCTCAGGTGCTGACTCTTGGCAGGTAGATTTACATGCATACATTTTAATGCATGGTATGAGTTACCCTTACTAGCTTCTCTCTGGGCAGAGACACAGAAGGTTTGGGGACACTGGGTCAGAAGATAATTAACTATCAATAGCTAAGATATAGTTCCTGCGAGTAGCTCCTAAGGGCAATCATATCCAAAAGGAGTGAGCACATTAATGAAAAAAGAAAAACACTTTACCACCCCAGAACCATGTTCAGTGATCTCACCTGTAGGGCGCATGGTGCTGAGAGCCTGGGCTCACACCATAGCCTGGAAGACCAAACCCGCAGGTCTGCCACCCCCGTCCTGGGGCTGGAATTCGCTTGTAGTGACCAGTGCTGGATAATGGGTGAGTGGGAGAGGCCTGACAAGTAATACTTGCCATACAGAATGTATCCCAACTGTCTTATTCTGAGGCTACATAGATCAATCTGCTCAACTGTAGTTGTTATCTGTGCAATTCCCATGTGAGAAGTCACAGGAAGCTGCAAAGCAACACTCCCTTCAGGGGTTAAAGCAGCTAACACTGGAGAGTTTCCTTTAAAGTCCTTCTTTTTCAGGTGGTCAGACCCAGGGTCTCCAGGCAGCTTTCAGCCACCATTCAATCAACAAATCCTGAGGACCCAGTAGGGTAAGGCAGGTGCTGGCTCAGGGGACACAGTGTGACCATATCAGGTGAGACTCTCCCTAACTTGCTCTGGGAAATGTGATCTGAAAAGCTACACAATTTCAGTTCTTGGATTTCTCACCAAGTAACTCTTCCTTCTCTAAGAACTCTGACCACAGTGTTGACCTGAAGAAAGCCACAACTCCAGGGCTTTATCCCTGTCTGGTACACAACATCAGGTCTCCTTCCTTCTTTTACAGAAGAAATTAAATATTTTTATGAAGCATAAAATGGTTACATCTCTTTTTCTGGGCCAGATGATTATTACCTATTAACATCTAAGATATAGTTTGTTGGTGCACGTAGCTCCAAAGGCCAATTACACCCAAAAGGAATGAATACATCAATAAAAAAGAAAGTGCTGATTAGAACAAAATGATGGAAACAATTGTCTCTATTTTAAAAGGGCCTTTGGTCTTCACTGAAAAATGCAACTCTTCCTCCACGTTTAAGTCTTCACATGGACGGCAAGTGTTTCACGCAGTGATCCTTGCTGGCATCTCACCTCTGGGGCTCTCCTGCTCCACTGCAGAGCCCTCATCAGGGCTTGGATGCATAATGTGTATTCTGCCCACAGATGTGCCCAGAGCTGGTCCAGGTACCAGAGTGTCCAGGGTCCCTGAAGTCACATTGTTTTGTCAGTGAGTCTGGACTTACCCAACTGAGTCCTGAGAAAATGGATCAGCTTGGTCTCTGTAAGGAATGCTGTCCTGAGAGTCACCCCCAGACAGAAGGTCCCCACAGTAACGTGTGCCAGCTTGGCTAGCCAGCCCTGCTCACAGCAGAGGAACACCTGGGGAGAGAAACCAACATCAGTGATGGGCTCCTCAGGCTGTATGTCCTTCCTTGGGGACCAGCCCGAGAAGGCGGCTTCTCAGTCAGATAAAAGGCATGGCACCACATATTGAAGGCCTGCTCCCTCCCCACTGGCATAGTCACATCTCTCATGAAGCCTGGGGAAGGGATAAAAGGAGGCAAACACTTGTCCAGTTGGTCCAGGCAAAGCAGAAAGGGGCGGCTTAAAGGGAGGGCAGTGGGACAGCCTGCAGAAGTGTGTGCTGGGAAGGTGGGAGGAGTCTCACCTCTGAAACACTAGTTATCACACCACTGAGGGCAAACACCCCGAGGAGGACTGGCGACAGGCGCAGGCCGGCCAGGGGCCTGTGGGGGCTCCCTTGGTAGTAGCGGTGGATGAAGCAAAGGCTCTGCGTGATCCGAATGCCCATATTGAAGCAGTTGGCCAAAATGAAGCCCACGCTGCCACACCAATGGGTCAGGAGATAGGACAGCACCAGGAAGGAGGATGACAGGGCCAGCATTGTGAAATTGTACCTGGGGAGAGAGACATAAGCAAAGAGGGCCAGTGAGTATCCTGCCCCAAGACAAGACCTCTGCAGAAAAAGTGGACAGAAGAAACTCACAGAAGGAACCCCCGAGTTCCCAGAACTCCAGCTGAGTTCACCAAATCCAGGTTTTCATAACAGCAAATGCTACAGGTATAACATGGAAATGTCCCTGTGCCCTCACCCCTGAACAGAATAGTAAGAAACAATTCAAGATATTTATATATTTTTCAAGATAATAGTTAGGTAATACTTTGTGATCAAAATACATAAAAAGACTGTTTACTCAAGCACCCAGTGCAAAGCACAGGAATATGTCCTGGGTAATAATGCTACACTGGAGCCTACATGTATGACAGGGTCCATGAAGAATGCCAAGAATGCCAGGAACATACCAGTGAATGAATACACATGGCCCTTGCCATGTGGAGCTTAGATTTGTTTCACAGACAAGGGCACCAGCACAGAGATGCTGAGTAACTTGCCTAAGGAGTGAGGTACCCCTGACTCCGGGCCCCTGGGCCTCAATGCCTCACATCACTTCGGAATGCAGCACCCAGTGGACTTCGCTCAGAGCAAGTGACCAGCTCCAAAGTGAGCTGTGAAAGTGAGCTCCAAAGTGAAATGTGACTGGGACCAGAGTCTGCAGCACTTTTGATGTCTTCCAGATGATGTCTTACACACCCTGCCTCCCGCTCTCTCCATCTCTAGAGCACTTCGGAAATAGAGACGAATGGACTAAGCTACTCCTTTCACTTCTCTAATTTCAAAGCAGCTCATCACTGAGTCTCAGCAAATAAAATAGCTGCCTCCAAAAGACTTGTCTAGCCATGAACAAAATTCCCAGCATCTGGCTTCTGCCTGGCACAGAGCAGGTACTCTAAGTATATGGCTGCTGAGGGAGCCAAGCTCTTTAGATCCCCAAGCTATGTCTGCTGGGTTAGGACACCTCAGAGGTCACCACCCAGGTTCTTCACATGAGGGGTGGTAAGAAAGCCACTGTGCCCCCAGAATGCCTGGGTATAGGTCCTCAGGCTGACAAGAACCCAAGGTGCTGTGGAGATACATTTTATCAAAGTGGGTAGTAGAACTACTTACTATACACAAACACAAACAATACTACACTCCAACATGGGACGTGTGCTTTTATGTAGAGTTTCAAAGGAAGTTTATTTGCTTCTCAGTCAAGAGTCTCTCTCCCTCTCTCTCCCTCTTTTTTTTTTTTTTTTTACTTGGGGGTTTCACTCTGTTGCCCAGACTGGAGTGCAGTTGCATGCTCACGGCTCACTGCAGCCTTGACTTCCTGGGCTCTGGCGATCCTTCCACCCCAGGCTCCCAAGTAGCTGGGACTACAGGCATGCACCACCATGCCCAGCTAATTCTTTTACTTTTTGTAGAGACAATGTCTCGCTATGTTGCCTAGGCTGATCTCAAACTCCTGAGCTCAGTCCTCTCACCTTGGCTTCCCAAAGTTTTGGGATTACAGGCGCGAGGCACCATGCCTGGCCTTGAGAGAGAGTCTCTTTTACCAAGTAATAGAAGTACAAGAGCCTGCACTTATACAGGAGAAGTTTTTTCACTAACTACTAGTCAGTGATCAGAATGGTCAACTGCATAACAAGTCACTGAAGTGGGACTCAATGCAGACTGGTACTTTGACCTCTTTTTCAAAAAGAAGCAGATAGGCATGGTGGTTCATACCCATAATCCCAGTGATTTGGGAGGCTGAGGCAGGAAGATAATTTGAGGCTAGTAGTTTGAGACCAGCTTTGGCAACATAGTAAGACTCCTGTTCCTCCCCACCCCAAATTTTTAAAAATTAGTCAGGCACAGTGGCTCATGCCTATAGTCCTAGATACTCAGGAGAAGACAGAAGGATGATTTGAGTTCAAAGCTGCAGTGTGCCATGATTGTGCTACTACACTCCAGTCTTGACAACAGAGCAAGAACCTGCCTAAAAAAAAAAAAAAATCCAGATGTTTATATACTATCAAAATCCCATTATAAGTAACTTAAAAAGTTGTTGCCTTTGGTTCAATTCAGTATAAGAGGAAAGAAAGCAACCAGCTACTGTTCATATTCTCTCATGATTTGGTTACAAGGTTTTTCTTTAAACAATTTAAATAGTTTTAGTGTTGACCCTCTCCTCAACTAATGCTGAAGTTATTGTAGCAAAATTCTGCTCAAAGGGAAGTTATTGTAACTATATTCTCTTCAAAGATATACACTCCTGTCTAGGCTTCCCTCTGTGCCACAGTGCCTCACTTAGCATGTTTTAAATTATATTTTTAAATTATTCAATATTAGAAACAGCTTTCAAATAAAAACATTGTATTTCCAAAGTTAGAGACCATTTCACCCATAAGGGGAAAAAAAGGATGAACTCAAAGCAGTTCTACAGCTATAAATTAACCATGTCTAGACCACTATCTTAAAACTATGGGTTATGACCTACTGGTAGGCTGGGAAATCAATTTAGTGGGTCATCACATGGCATTTTTGAAAAATAAAATAGAAGAAACTAGAAAGCAACAGTGGGCACTGTGGGTAACTGGGGGTACTTCTTGCTTTACAAATCCTCATTTTAGTTACACGCACCTAAGTGTGTGCTGGGTCACAGTACTCAGGGTAGTTTTCACTGCGAAGGCTAGTCTGGGTCAGCAGTTTCCAGAGCCCTAGAATTGCCAAAAGCTGTGTAGCCAAGCCTGCTAAAATTCTAATTAAGATGGGTTGAGAGGGGACCAGAAGTTCTCAAAGGAATCTCATCAATCTGGGCTGGGACCTGCTGGTCGAGGCTCTAGTTACCAACTGTGTAGCAAACAAAGTCACCAAGCTTCTATGTGAGCCAGTCCAAGACGGGAAGCACACAGATGAGGGATTCCCCAGCTCTGAACTACCCCTTCGCCACCTTACCCTCAAGACCAGGCCTTTGAGGACTCTCAACAGCACTCATGGGACCCAGGCCTCCAGGGGCAATGGGATGACGTGGGTCACTTGCCCCACCACCCATGCCCACCCTTTCTACTCCCTTCTCTATTTCTCCCTCTCTTCTTTTCCTCTATAAGTTTTATCCTTCTCCTTAACTTCATCCTGCAGTGTTGTCTTAAGATTCTGACATTCTACTGTTTGGCATTTGGCACACAAGAGGTAGATGATCCTGCATGTGTCAAAGGCACTTAACCAGGAGTTCACACCAGAATCACTGGGGAACATTTTAAAAACACACACATGCTCAGGGTCTGCTGATTTCACAGGTGTGAGGGAGAGGGGTGGAAGTAAGGTGGACTAGAATCTGCATTTCTTACAAGCTCCATGAGGGATTCTGACTCACAACAGTATTAAGAACTGCTGGTCCAGGTTCCAGGGCAGAGGTCCTGATCTGGTGTCAGTAGATGAGGAAAAAATTGCGACAAAATGTATATGTGCACTTGGGCTTTTCTTGAGGAGATGTTTATAGAATTCCTGAGATTCTCAAAGACCTATCAGTCAGATTCTCAGAGGCAGGAATCTGCATCTTGAAGAAACCCCTGGTAACCCTGGTAATCTTGGTACACTGGAGTTGAGGACCACTCTCATAGGGCTGGGCATGGAGATAGAAGAATGGAAATCTTGCTTGTCTTGTGCCTGACTCTGCAAACTTGAGCTCACACACCCTTCAGGGCTTGTATTTCTCCCTCCCCAAAGGAGGGGAAGAGTAGTTACTACCTCTAGTCCTACTGCAGGGAGCACTAACTGGATTGTGCTGGTGCATCAGAGATCCCAGGGTAGCACCACACTGCTGGGTTAAGTGTGGCCTAAAAGAGGCACCTGTAAATGCATAGCCGCAATGAAAAGAAAAAAGACTGGCAAGTTACTTCATTTTGGCTGAAGGCCATGACTAAAGGCATATCTTCCAGGTTACCTACCTGTTGACCTCCTCTTTGCTCATGGCAGCAAATGTGAAACACTCAGTCACCCCATTGATGGCAAGCAGGAGGACGTAGAGACAATAGGAACGCAGCAAAACAGGACCTATAAGGAAACAGCCTGCTGAGACTCCAGAGCCCAATCAGGAGGCCCACATGTACCCTCAGCTTGTCTGAGAGCTCAAACACCAGAACTGGCTCACAAGACCTGCTGGTATCACCAATGGGTAGACTGCCTGTGATCTTAATTATCCAGAAGAATTTTCAGCATTCTATGGCATTGACTAAATCATCAGATAATAACAAAAGGACAATTACATGTAAATGTACAGATCTCTTGTTGAACAACTAAAAGTTTATCTGGCCAGCAAGCAAACTGGTTTTTGTTTTTTTTTTTTGAGTCAGAGTCTCACTCTATCACCCAGGCTGGAGTGCAGTGGCATGCTCACGGCCACCCCAGCATTCTGGGCTCAGGTGATCCTTCCGCCTCAGTTTTCCAAATAGCCAGAACCACAGGCGCATGCTACCATGCCCAGCTAATTTATTTATTTATTGTAGAGACGAGGTCTTGCCAAATTTCCCAGGCTGGTCTCGAACCCAAAGGCTCAGACAATCCACTCATCTCGTACTCCCAAAGTGCTGGGATTACAGACTGAGACACTGAGCCTGGCCAGCAAATCACTTTTTTAACCAGCATGAAGGGGCCTGTTAGTCTGAACTCAGACACCAGTGATCCTGCATGTTAAGGGAATCTTAATGTGAGCAGGCCCTGAAGAAAAGATCTCCAGGAAAAGCTCAAGTCCCAGGACCAGCAGGAAATTACACAAATCCTGAGTGAAAACCAGAGCCCATGATGATGGCATTCTCTTCTAAAACAAATTAATGCAGTTTTATGTTAATAAGCTTTGGGAAAATAGCTAACCAGAGAATAGGAACCTTACAAATGGGCCTGATACCTTCTTTTAAGAGGACCATTATCAAGCATCTAGTAAAATAAACATACAACCAACCTATAACCTAGCAATTGAACTGCTAGGTATACACCTGACAGAAATGAACACACACATTGACAAAAACATTCGTACAAAAACATCCATAGCAGTTTTATTCATAAGAGCCCAAAGTGACCATCAGCAGAAGAAAGGATAAACAACCTGTGGGTCATCCATACAAAGGAATACCTCTCAGCAAGAAGAGAGAAAAACTACTGATACGTGCAAAACCATGGATGAATCTTGAAAACTTTATATTTTAAGAAATAAGCCAGGCTGGGCTTGGTGGCTCAGTCTGTAATCCTAGCACTTTGGGAGGCCGAGGTGAGAGGACTGCCTGAGCTCAGGGGTTCGAGACCAGCCTGGGCAACATGGTGAGAACTCGTCTCTACAAAAAAAAAAGCTGGGTGTGGAAAAAACAAAGAAATAAGCCAAACACAAAAGCTTACATGGTGTATTTCACTGACATTAAAATCATTTTAAAAGCAATACTAGTCTATGGTGATAAAAACCAGAAGAGTGGTGGCCTTGAAGTGGAGGGGGTGGCTGACTGGAAAGGGACCTGAGAGAACTTTCTGGAGTGGTGGAAATGTTCTATATCTGAACTTGGACAGTGGTTACCTGGGTGCATATATTTGTTAAAGCCCATCAAACTGCAGTCCTAAGAGAACAGCATTTTACTTTATGTAAATTATACCTCAACAAAGAAAAGACTTAACCACTAAAAGAAAAGGAGGGGGAATAGAAGTTCCAGAGTCTCAGAATCTGGAACTCATTCAAGGTTTATGAAAGCTATTTACTCTAAGAGATCTTATCATGCTGTTGGGACCCTACATAGTTTTACGGACTCACAAAATTATAAAAGGAATGCTAACAGGGCAGCCCTGATGCCCAGCAAGAACAAGTCTCCACGGCCCCCTCTCAGTGTTCATGTTTTATCCTGTCATGTTGCATTTCACTCATCAAGCTGCTGCAGAGAGTAACCTAACCCCCACTCTTCTGAGGGGACTCCAGTAGAGGAGGCAGGGATCAGGCTCTGCCCCTGGGTGGCTCAAACTATAAGAAGCATGCTTCTTGCTTCTCCTCATCCCTGTCTCCCCAGCAGAAGCAGAGAGGAGGGAGGCCCTTCTTACCTGCTAACTGAATGCTAACAGCACATGTGGGCCCAACTAAAGGTGGACAGTGAGCTGTTTGATCATGAAGAACACAAACTCTGGCATGAAGTAGTGGCCCAAGTAAAAGGGTTTTGAGTCAGTTTGGGAGATTCAAGGATGAAATCTTTAACTGTGGATTGAATTGAGAGGTGTTCTGGGTTGAATTGTGCCCCCCACCCCTGCCCGCGCCCCAAGGATATGTTGACATCCCGACCACGAGTACCTCAGAATCTGACCTTATTTGGAAACAGGGTCTTTACAGGGCAAAATCAGGTTGAAATAAGGTCATTCGGATAGGCCTTAATCCAATATGACTGATGTCCTTATAAAAAGGGAAAATTTGGACACAGAGACAGACATGCACAGAGGGAAGATAACATGAAGACATGTGACTGGTATGATGCAGCCAAAGAACACTAGGGTTGCCAGCAAACACCAAGAGGTAGAAGAGGCAAGGAAGGAGACTCCTTTGGAGCCAGCCAGGACACAGCCCTCTCAGTACCTTGGTTTTGGATTTCTAGCTTCCAGAACTATGAGATAATACATTTCTGTTGCTTAAGCCACCCAGTCTGTGGTATTCTGTCATGGCAGCCTTAGGAAACTAACACAAGGGAATAGAGAAGATAAAAGTTTTTAAAAAGTAAAGAAAAGGGCAGGAGAGAAGCACTTAAGAGAAAAATGTGAGCAATCCTGGAATTCAGTGAATATTGGTGTATCTCCTAGGGATAGAGAAGCGAGGTGTGAGAAGGATCTGCAAGGAAAGCCTCCAGAGCATGTACACACCCCAACTATCCGGTGCCAACCTCAAACAGTGCATAGCAAACCACACCCTACAGAGGCCTGTCTGTGCTGAGTCCAAGGCCAGCATTCAGAGATGGCTAGGACAGGCCATGGGTAAGTCCACTTCAAGGGTGAAGACAAAGACAAACACACAAGGGGATGGGGATGGGTTGTGGAGAGTTGCCGTTCTTTTCTGATTACTACAGGGAGACTTTCTAGACAAAGTCAAGTTTTGTGAAGTATTTAAGTGATCAAAAAAGATCAGAGGGAGAGTAGCAGTGTTGCTTTCTGGCCCAGCAAAGGTACTCAAATATGCAGCACTAGGAGTGGGGTGAGGAAATGACAGGTAGAACGAAGACCAGGAGAGAAAGCAACGACACCTGGTAGGGTGGCATGGAGGCCAGGAAAAAAATAATGACTGGAGCCATTCTCAAGACTCTGCTCTCTCTTAATATGACACCTAGTGGGTGGCACTGGCCCTATCGGGAAGCCACCAAGGGCTTTACAGAGACTGGCAGTTTGGTCAAAATGAGAAGCAGCTACAATTCAGAGACCAATGCTAGATGACCCTGCTGGGGCAGTGACACTGCTGGGGTCCTGGGCCACAAAAGTGATTACAACAACCCTGAAGATCCTGCAGTGACATGCCAAACCACACATGCTTTTAAGGGACTAAGAAGCTGGAGCCATTCTCAAGACTCTGCTCTCTCTTAATATGACACTGGGAAAGCATCTTTTTGAGTCTAAAATTGTTAATGACTCAGAACATATTACCTTAGACCCCAACCAGTTTAACTGATAAATCAGTTATCGGTGCTCAGAACTGGCACCAGCAAATCATCTGAATACGTGGTGTACACAATTGCAGTAGTTTATTTATATCTTGTCTACTAGTTACTCCACTAGGTGGATATCTCGATGTGACAACCCCCTCCTTGTGGCAAAGTCCTGTGATTATGTTGCATTACAGGCTGTTCCTTGGCAATTGCTTTCTAAGGAGCAGAGCGGCTGTGAAATAATTGAATTCCCAATCTCTGCACATAGATTTACTAATGTTTTCCTAATGAGGCCTCTTTGCAGTTGCCTGATAGAAATAAACTTCTCACAGCACAAGCCCCAGGGAGCTGCAAACCACTTCACTGGTTTCATAGCAGGTGCTTCTCCAAACTTAATGACCTTTGCTCCAGTGTAGAAATGTGGCTCTTCTTTCCCTAGTATTGAAAGTTTGGGCTCCATTGCAGTGGAGACTAAAACATGCCAGGGATCTTGTAAAATGGCATTTCTATAAAGCTCTTCATATTAAGATGGGGCAGCAGAAAGAAGTCTCAGTGTTCTTGTCTAGTGACCTGAGAAATTAAAAACATCTTTGCTAAACCCATAATGAAACACTGCAAATGGACTGCCAGCTTGCAGCCCAGCACATTTCAAAACTGGTGAAATCCCCAATGCCTAACAAGTGTGAGATTCTCAGTGACCTAGTGTTTCAAAATTAGACACATTTAATATCTCTCTTCTTCAAAAACCAAGAGTCACTGGATTAAATATACCATTTTATTTGGAGAGATCAATTTTATTCTCTGTAAATGGCTCTGGGTTATCCTTCAGAGCTTTTTATGCATCAGGCTGTGAGATTTATGTGGTATTTACTATCTTCAGATGTGTTTAGTACCAAGCAGAGACTCATTAGAGCCTGCCCTCTGCCTTCCTCCTTCACCCCAGAGGGAGTGCTTGGCAAAACATATTTTAGGCCTGAGAGGAAAGCCAGCCACAGGAGGAGTCATAACAACTTCTCCAAGTGAGGCTGGGGAACTGACGGCCTGGTGCCAAGGCCCCTGACTGCACCTTAAGAGTACATCTGAACTCAAGTGAGGGGAATAGTCCCACAGCCCCCACCACCCAGTCTTACTACACTGACACAGGTATCAACTATGTGCACAAGTTCTTGAATTTCATGACTCTTCTATTTCTGCTCGAAAATTAGAACAAGTCCAACAAAACTCTTGGCATACCTGATCCTGAGCTAAGCATGGCTCCTCCATAGATGTCCAGAGCCAGCTGAGAATAGGCAAAGCCAAAAACAGTGATGGTCATGCCAGCCAGCAGGGCCAGCTTAAGCAGGGACTCCAAGACCATGGCAGCCACAGTGACATCCTCCTGGGGCCGGGAGAGAGAGAAGGAAGTTGGATGAATCATTAGCTTCTGGTCTTCTCTCTTTGCTGTTTTATAGCTCACTCTCTACAGCTCACCCTTCAGAGTGGGTGAGGGCATCACTGCTTTTCTGTAGCCTGTGTTTGTTTTTATGTCAAGTAGCAAATGAAGGAAAAAGACTGTGTGTCTCCTTAGGTGATGAGGGAGAAGTTTAGTTTTCAATTTATTTAGAATAAATTGTTTCATATTGCTTAGGAAACACTTTGCCCTCTGATATTTATTTTTAAATGGGTAGCAAGTTTTCACATAAGCTAGCCAGTTCTATGCTTCTCCTGACAAATGTCTCAAAATTCTGATGTTATTGTCAATATCAACTTAGGAAAATATTCCTAAGTCACACTGAGAATCAGATTAGCTCATTTTAAGATATTGTACATAAACTGTATTTTGAAAAATATCTTCTAAGACATTTAGGAGGCTGAACTTGCTTTTAATTCTAAGATAAGTCAGATATTATCAGTGATTTTAGAAAAAAGTGAAAGTTTCTACAATCAAATATTACTGCATTAAAATCTCTTCCTCTGTATTGACTCTCTGTAGATAACAGAGGCAGCTAAGAATAGGCAAAGCAAAGAGTGATGGTTAGGCTGGCCAGCATGGCCAGCTTGAGTAGGGACTCCAAGACCTTGCTTCCCTTCTATTTGATCTGAAATTTTCTTGTAGGTTCTTGTAGAGTATTCACATACTTGTAGAATATGCAGATTCTCACGGTCACTGTTGTGAGAAGCTTAGATAATAGGTGTGATAAGTGAAGCTTCATGACCACTTACATACATCCTTTACTCCCCATGCCCTCGGTGAACCTTGCTCCAACTTCTGCATCCTTTGGCTCTTGAGAATCTAAGGACAGGGGAGGCAACCTCATTCTCATGCCTAAGACTAGTCTCTGGGAGGACATCTGTGCGGCACTGAGAAAGGCTGCAGAGAGTTCTAAGAGGGCTGGGTCAAGACTAAGGTCATAAAGAAGGACAAAGGGGTAAGAAGAGATGTCAAGAGAAAAGGGGGAAGGCCATGAAAGAAGAAGTGACCCTGGGTCCTTCCATAATTTAGAATGTGATAGAAGGGTAAAACCTACAAGAAAACTTGAGATCAAGATAGAAGGGAAGAGCCGGGCTCGGTGGCTCAGCCTGTAATCCCACGCCTTTGGGAGGCTGAGGTGAGTGGATTGCCTGAGACCGCGGGTTCGAGACCTGCCTGGGCAGCAAGACCTCATCTCTATAATAAATTAAAAAATCAGCCGGGTGTGGTAGCGCATGTCTGTAATTCCGGCTACTTGGAAGGCTGAGGCGGAAGGATCGCTGGAGCCCAGCAGGTCGAGGCTGCGGTGGCCAGGAGCGGCCACTGCACTCCAGTCTGGGTGACAGAGTGAGATTCCAACTCAAAAAAAAAAAAAAAAAGATAGAAGGGAAGCAGGCTGTTCCACATTCCGGCCTATCTTGCAGTTAGAGGGAGAATTCACTTGAGAGAAGACAGAGAACCACGACTACCTGCTTCTGGAGTGTGGCATCCTTTTCTCTCTCCAGCACCTTAGCAAAAAATATATAAAAACTCTCCTCTATTGGCTGGAAAATTAATCTGGCCACAAGGGAGCCAAGATTATTCACTATGTCATATACACCTACAAAACAAAAAGGAAGAAACAAAAATCATATTGGTTTTTTTATTTTAATTTTCACAGAACTATTAATCTAATTTGATATTCTTAGTTAAACTTTTTTATCTTGAGATAACTGATGATTCACAAAGAGTTATAAGAAATAACAAAGATTCCATAGTGCTCTTTAGCCAGTTTCCTTGAATGGTAACATCTTGCAAAACTACAGTACAAGTATACTACAGGATACCAACATTAATACAATCAAGATACAGGATGCTCCCATCATTAAAAGTCATTAATGCAAAGTTGGGCTGAGTGTGGTGGCTCACACCTATAATCCCAGCACTTTGGGAAGCCAAGGCATGAGGACTGCCTGAACCCAGGAGTTCAAGACCAGTCTGGGCAACATGGTGAGACCTTGTCTCTACAATAAATTAAAAAATTAGTCAGATGTGGTAGTGTGTGCCTGTAGTCCCAGTTACTTGGAAGACTAGGCAGAAAGATTGTCTGAGCCCAGCAGGTTGAGGTTGCCATAGCTGTGATCATGCCAGTGCACTCCAGCCTGGGCAACAGAGTGAGATTTCAATGCAAAAAAAAAAAAAGTTGGGTTTTTTTTCTATTTTTCTCTCCATTACTTTGTGATTATATTTAAGGATAAATATTAAAATATTGACAGCAAGCCTGACTCGGTAGCTCAGCCTGTAATCCTGTGCCTTTGGGAGGCTGAGGTGAGTGGATTGCCTGAGCCCACGGGTTCGAGACCCGCCTGGGCAGCGAGACCTCATCTCTACAATAAGTCAAAAAATTAGCTGGGCGTGGTAGCGTGTGCCTGTAGTTCCAGCTACTTGGAAGGCTGAGGCGGAAGGATCGCCGGAGCCCAGCAGGTCGAGGCTGCGGTGGCCGGGAGTGGCCACTGCACTCCAGTCTGGGCGACAGAGTGAGACTCCAACTCAAAAAAAAAAAAAATATTGACAGCGACCCATCTAGCCACAAAAACATGGGCAGATTCTTGTAGTTGTGATGGTAGACTCCCTTTTCTCCTCTCCTGGCACCTTCCACACACCAAAAATGAATGTTAGAGCTTTCAGGAAGCAGGGTAGTAGGCAGTGGTCTCAACAGAAAGTCTGCCACTCAAGTCACATTAGAGAACATAGTCAGTATTAGATGGTATGTATTTACAAAGAACTACAGTTTACAATCTTTGGGTTTATTTTAATTAACTATATAAAACCACAGAGAAAAATATTAGGAAGTATCTATTAATAGTATTCATCTTTAGTTAAAATACTACAGAATTTCATCTTACCCTGATCGCCAAAATTTAATACGTTCAAAAATGTCATCACATATCGCTCACCTATAAATGGAAAAGAAAAATAATAAACCTTTCAAACGCACACTAATTTGATTCCTTTCTCTTACCGTCTATCAACTTTTCCAGTTGACAAATATTGTCAAAGGAGAAAAATCAGATAATCAGTCAGATAATCAGTTAGATAATCAGTTAAAGATATGTTCCTTGTCCTAATGTTGATTTCAAATAATCTTATAGTAATAATCTAGAAAGGGCTAAAGGCTTTATTGACAGGACATCTCCAAGCAAGTTAAATTTTTTAAAAATTTAAGTCAATAAAAAAGTCTAAAAATAAGTTTTTAAAAAGTATGTGAAGGTCACTAAAATGTTAATAATGCAAATAATTGCCCCAAGTTTTTTTTTTTTTTTTTTTTTTTTTGAGTTAGAGTCTCACTCTGTCACCCAGACTGGAGTGCAGTGACCGCTCCCAGCCACCACAGCCTCGACCTGCTGGGCTCCGGCAATCCTTCCGCGTCAGCCTTCCAAGCAGCTGGAACTACAGGCGCACACTACCACGCCCGGCTAATTTTTGATTTATTGTAGAGATGAGGTCTTGCCAAGTTGCCCAGGAGGGTCTTGAACCCATGGGCTCAGGCAATCCACTCACCTCAGCCTCCCAAAGGTGCAGGATTACAGGCTGAGCCACCGAGCCCGGCTTGCCCCAAGTTTTAAGAGAGGTTAGGTAATCTGAGTGTAAATTATCTGTGAAGTATAATTTCCATGATCGTGTACACAAGCTCATCAAAAAGTTCCTCTGGAGGCCGGGTTCGGTGGCTCAGCCTGTAATCCCAGTGCTTTGGGAGGCTGAGGTGAGTGAATTG